AAGAATAGTTTCAAAGCTCCAAAGTTAAAAACACAAAATTGACATGTACATTTTAGCTACAGATTTTCCCGAAAGGTTTGAATTTAACATGTTTTCTCTTCTTTTCTTAGTCTCTATAAGCATTGGAATACAAATTTGTAATACTGGAGAGAGAGATAGCAAACAATAGAGAGAGAGAGAGAGAGAGAGAGAGAGAGAGGTAGCGAGAGAAATAGTTAGAGAGGCATGGGGGGGGGGGGGGGTTAGCCACAGAAACTTATCATTTACAAGATACCTTTATTTATTGCTTTTATGCAGAAATATGTTGGAAAGCTTTAAACACTCTCAGCCTTGGGATGAGACTAGTGATATTATTAGCCCAATCCAGTTGATTCTAGTTACCCAGTACTGGGAAAGAACTAAGCACATATTATTCCCTGCAATATGCACTCCCCGATGCTGATACAATGTTTGCACACAGTATTAATATCCAGTGGGTTCTCCAACACATGCTCAGGTGACTTTTGCTACCCGGTCATTTTTCTGTACCAACAGAATTTTCTTACTTCAACCTTGGACCAAATGTTATCCTTACTCTAACCCAAACCCAAAATCCAACCTAAAAACTCACCTAAAATCTCACTTAAAATTAACACCACCTTATACACTATCCAAATCCTAACCTTATCCCTAAGTCTTTGACGAAACATGGATTTTGGTTTGGGTTTGGGTTTGGGTTTGGGTTAGGTTTTGGGATTGGGTTTCTCTCTTATGCTACTTATGACGAATTAAAGACCTTTTACTGGGGATGAAAGATATTTTAGAATACCACCATAGGATTTTATATCACAGCTAAATCCAATCAGTAAATGCACCCGTACATGTACAACCCTCTCCTAGTGCCCCCCCCCCAAAAAAAAAAAATGTTTCGTGCAAGCCCATCACCAGTTTAAGCGAAAATTGAAATAAAAGCATCTAAAGCTTGAGGAAAATAGTACCTGCATTAAAAATATTCAAGATTGCATTTCATTGTATGTATTGTTAGTCCAAAGAGCAATTTTATTTCATCCTGAAAGTCGAAAGAGCAATTTTGTTTATTTTGTTTCATCTGACACTGTAAACTTTTAAATAGAACAATTAGAAGCAGCTAATGCCTCATCTTTTCATATTATTTATGGTACAGCAGGAGGCTATTAATAATAATAACTTTTTGAATTGATCATTTATGAATTACCTTTAAAAGTGAATACTTAATAGTGATAAACCTGAGGAAACTTTGTTTATTAGTTTATTACCATTCATGAGCAGAAATGACAGTACCATAGTACTGACCAAGATAGAATAGCTGTCAGTACAGGTTTTCCAAGTATTAATGAAGTGTGCTTGTGACATTTCTACTGGTAGGGGGGGGGGGGGGGGTGGATAAAAACCAATGATGCCCCATGTACATGTAGATCAATATCAATAGCTTTTAGATTGCTGCATTTGATACTCAATACCCGTGCATTGTGCCCATCGGAGATCATGCTGTACTACATGTATGTGTAATGCAAGGAGGGGCAAAGGCAATAGGTGTAAGCACTAATTCTAATATAAGAATAGGATTAACTTTAAAGCAGGTTTGCTTTGACTAAAGGAGGATTACACAATAACGGGTATAAAGCTGCTAAAGCAGGCTCAGTGCATGATCCATTTAAACTACAATAAGATAAAGAGGAGCTTTTCCAAACATGAATATAAAGAAGTTGCTGCTCATTTTTATTTAGCATAAATTATAATATGCAAATCTGTTGGTTAAATGTTAGATCGGGGAAAATTTCAGTTTGAGCGTAAGTAAATTATGCATAAATGCTTAAGATCAGAGTAAATTTGATAATGGCTGCTCTTACCAATGACCAATTATTGCAGGTAATGTTGTTAAAGTTGTCTCTTCTAAAGGTGTTGATTATTTGCAACAACAACAACATTTGAAAACAAATGTATTCCTTCAAGGGGGTTATTCTTGTTTCTTTTTTCTATGCCAGATGAAGTCACCTCATTTGAATGCAAATCAATTGGAAGCCCAAATTATTGATTTAGTGATCTTACATATGAACATTTAAAAAGCATGAAAAGACCAGGGCCCCTTGCACGAAACTGACCATTGATGGTAACTACCATGGAAACCTTGATTTTGATTGGCTGTTGAGCCCTGTTACAATGGTAGTTGCCATTGATGGCAAAGTTACCATCAATGGTAAGTTTTATTCACCGGGCAGAAATGTAGTGTTGTAGTGTAATCCGAGACGTGTCTAATGTAACACATCTCTGGTCTTATTAGTTGGTGAGAATGGAAAGGATGTGGACGATGATAGTGAATTTCAGAGTTTTACAAACAATATTTAGAAATATTATTCAAACTATGTATTGGGAATATCTTGCTCATTGTCCATTTTATTTTACACCAGAAGCTTGTTTTTGTAATTTTATATCACGTTTCGTACAATTAAAGGCCCTCATCAGAACTGATAGAGGATTTTTTCACATACTTTTCTTCTCATTTTTAGAATACAGGCCTATGTATCGTTTTGCATATTTTTTACAAGTGCTTGGGAACAGGAACTAGATTCTCTGTTTTGAAATTGACTGGTGGGCAAGATTTACGACTAGCTGTTTAAGTAGTAATTGAATATCTGCTATTAACTTCAGAGCGACATGAGTGTGTATAATAATGGTGTAATGCCTGACCAGTGTCATTCTAGATTAGTTTAGTGGGATGTTTCTAATCAGAAGCACTCAGAACCAGTTGACCCATTACTCATGATTCCCAGGGCTTGTGATCTAGTGAAACAGTTGAAGAATGTTTATCTAGCTCCTGTTTTATGCTCCCCCATGTTCAAACACGTTACAGGGGGAGGCCAAATCCATGGCATTACACTAGATGTACAGAGTCCGAAACAGAGCATGCAGTGCTCTCTTCCTATGCTAAGCGTGGATTGGCAGGCGAGGATCTGAACTCTGAAGAAAAAAAGAGAAAAAGCCAAGCAAGCCTGGCGAAGCGTGCATGGCTGGCTGGCTACCCCCACAGAAATATATTGAGCAGGCCAAGAAAATAGAGGACACACACTAAGCAAATCTATGGCAGGAACGTTCTATTGCCCCCGAACTATGGCCAATATCGTACGAACACACACAGCACACACACAAACTCTATACACACATACACACACAGCATAAGCAGACATTATGCTATGCTCTTTTGTATTTACGCTGTACACTCGACTCATAAGGGGAAAGCGTTCATAGAGTTGAGCGTTTGCCAGCCCAGCCAGCCAGAGAATCGTACTGCCTAGCGCTGCTCTGCCTGTGTTGTGTGTAAACTGACTACATGCGCTATCATTTACAACACTCTCTGCAGTGGAGGTGGCTTGTTCTTTTCAGCCCCTATCAAAAAAGAAAAATAGTCACATTCACTGGCAGCGCTTCTTCAGCTCAGTGCAGCATTTCTAAAGAACATGCTCTTGTGTGGATTTAGCCAGCCTAATCTGTTACTGTTCCACTACCAACAGTGTAGGCCTACCTCTAAGGAATAATCCTCAACTTCTGGACACCCAAGTTGGAAGATATTGTGAATAATGTAAGCATTTTCTCTCTTTTTGGCTGCTGGAGTGCTGGTGGTAGCTACAGTGCTGTGCTGGTGTTTGCATATCCAAGCTCATATATATTTATGATTTTTATCTGTGGGTTATCTGTGCCATTGTGTAACGATATACTGCCCTATGCTGCCGTTACTCGCCAGCCGGACAATCAGTGAATAACTGTATCATGTTAGCGTGCCACTGTAGTTCATGTTATCTATCGCAGGATGGTGATTGTGCACAGTTTCTGTAGATCGAGGGGGAATTTGGCTTTTTCCAAGGCCTCATAGTTTGCGAGTCGTTTGGGATTTGTTTGCCCTACGCCAGTGTATGCAGGCCCTGACTTGTGCATTGCGCTGCAGTTAGATGTCAAGGCCAGGAATCGTATTGAATTCTTCAAGGGTTCAAGCTTACTTGGGATTCTGTATGTTGTGATACATGTATTCTGTATGTTTTGATATGTGCATTGAGATCTTAACATTAACATATTCTGTTTGTTTTTGTTTTCTTCCCTATACCCTTTTTTGATCCATGTCCTGCTATTGCTGTCCTATGCCAATTCTCTTTGAATTCTATGCCAATTCTCTATTTCTTTGAATCTTAAACTTTTTTCTACTCTATTTTGCTTTCAATAATTTCCTGACTTATCTATTTCTTTCTTATTTCTACCATCCCCTCATCACTTGTTTGTACTCTCTCTCTCTCTCTCTTTGCGTCCTTGCTCTTCCTGCCTGCTCTTCCTCTTCATTCCATCATCGCCCTCCCCCTCTCTCTTTCTCTCTCTTGGTATCTACTGTTAAATAATCTTTCCACTCCTCCCACCTCTGTCCTCCTGTGACCCTTTTCACTTCTCTGTTGTTCCATATTTCTTTCCCTTCTGGCCTTCATCTCCTGCCTCTTCACTTTACTGCACCCTCCTCCCCCTCCTCACTCTTCCCCCCTCCCCCTCTCCCTCCTCTTCTCTCCCCCCTTCTCTCCCACTCCCCTTTTCTCCCCTCCCCCTCTCTCCCCTCCCCTTCTATCCCCTCCCCTCCCCTTCTATCCCCTCCCCTCCCCTTCTATCCCCCTCCCCTTCTCTCTCCTCCTTTCCTCATCTGGCATCTGCTGTCCCTCACACCTCCTTCTCTCTCTCTCTCTCTCCCCTCCCCTCCCCTCCCCCTCCTCTCTCCCCTCCTCTCTCCCCCCTCCTTCCTCCTCTCCCCCTCCTCTCTCCCCTCCTATCCTTTTCTCTCCCCTCCTCTCTCCCCTCCTCTCTCCCCTCCTCTCCCTCTCCTATCTCCCCTCCTCTCTCCCCTCCTCTCTCCCCTCCTCTCTCCCCTCCTCTCCCTCTCCTATCTCCCCTCCTCTCTCTCCTCCTCTCTCCCCCCCCCTTCATCCTCTTTCTCATCTCTGTCCTGACTCCAGATTGCTGAGAGTGGAGCTAGCAGTGCTGTATAATCGGGGAAGCTGAGCGCAACCCTCATTTCACTATGTTGTGGCCGGAATAATTCGGTAAGCATTCCAATTACATTCCTACCAATACAAGGTGCTACATCATGTACATGTTAAATTCACTCCCCCTCCCCCTTTTCTTACGAAGAATTTAAAAAAATGTCATGCTTTCTAATACAATGTACATGTACACACAATTTAGGAAATAATTTAACTATAAGGAAACTTAAATGATGTTGTATGATACATGTATATCATAACAAAGGAAGTTACTGGTATACAACAAATTTTGTTAAACAATATTTACTATCAAAAATTGAATTATAACCTTCTTCATTTCACACAGATTGGTGTAAAGGTACTGGTAGTCAAACATACATTGAACACTGTGATGAATATAGTACAGTATTTTTGTTTTCATCAGGCATACACAAAACTTAAAAAGTGATGGTATTGTGAGGCTGCTAGAGGCACTTTCAGAACCTTGCATACATTTACCTACAACGTAGCCATGCAAGTGCAAACAATCTTTGAGCGTACACACTTGCTTGATGATTAATGAGCGTTGAAGACGAATCAAGCTAGTTACAAGATGGCCCTGAGGCTGTTTAGAATTGCCCTTTAGAGCACAATGGCAACATTACTTTGGACAACACACTTCATGTTAAAACCAGGTACAAAACCCTTTCATTGGATTACACCATACTTATGTGTCAAATCACTTTAAAATGCTCTCCTGGACACTAGGCCCATTTTTGGTACCCCTGTACCAGCAACAACAACAAAACAACAGCCCCAAGATATAGGAGCAATGAGAATTTTTTTTTTGGAAAGCTTCAAAATAGCTTTGGTAAACCAAAAAAGAACTCTGATAATATCACAATAAAATATTTAAAATATCACTGTGAGAAAATTACCACACACTATTTATAACACTGCAGTGTACCAAGACACTTTTTCAGTGGAGTACCTGTTTACCCGCTATAACGATTTTGCAAATGAAATACGGGTAGGCTCACATGTACTTCTCCTGCTCCGAGCCCTCCAACTTTCTAAGTTTTATGCCAGCGTAAGGCCTTGATACTACTAGTACTACATGTAACGTCTTGTGCAAAAACCACAACTAATGTCTGATTTCTCTATCAAATATTGCAATTCAACAAAATCGTAACAAATGGTACCGCTTGTACAAAATCGACATCATACAAATTATCCTCCCCTTCCTCTTTTCATGAACAATGAATTTAAAAAAAACCACCTCGCTTATTATTTTTGGTAGCAGACGTATGATATTTCAGTTTTTCACTGGTTGCCAAGAATTGTCCCTGGAAGGACCGATTAGCTTTTTAGCGTAATAGTACATGAAATCTCATTCACATTTCTCCATATTGAAAACATGTTAGATGCTAGGTGCATAGTCTTATTGTAGTGTAAGGCCATCAAGGTACAATACTTTGTATCTGTTGTATACGAGGTCAACTCTATATGGCCATAGAATTCAGTTGTGACTTCTGAGAAATGCGAAAAGTTGTTTTTCCCAACAGTGTGTAGTTTAGGGTCTGTTAGCTGCTAAAAGAGTAAGAAGATGGAGGGGGAAAAAAGATTAAAATTCTCAGAAAGGTCTGGTCTGAACTTGGCAACAATTTCTAGCTTCTGCTTTAATTGTATTTGGGAGCGCTGGTGTGCTATTTCACACATTTGTGATATTCTTACACCATACATGTAGGTTAGGTACGACTACCTACATGTACTAAACAATGACAAAGGACATGTTGGTTTTGTACATTTTCTAACCTATCTGTCATAGAAATTGTGCAGATATGGTTGTTTTCCAATTGTTTTCTGTAAAGAGATTTAATCGATTAACCCCTTACATTTAGAAGTTACGCTATAAGTGAAAGGTCTTCTTATTTGGCTAGAACTACATGTAGATGGTCAAAGTAATTGAATCTTAGTTCTGCACATAATGTACAGTATGTGTTTTGAAACTTTAATATAAAAGTGAAACTAAACCATGTTCATACTGAACAGAATTATCGGCTGTAACCAGATGACTTTTTCCTTCTTCAAAGAACGCAACCAATGTGTTGTATTGAAATTGATGTCACATGCTGTGTGCATAATTGATGATTCACACGGTTTTGATATGTTAACCATGCGTCGAGCTGGAACATCATAGGAAACTCAAATGAGTAAACTTGGTATCTTATCTGTTCTCCATCGCGCTCTTCCATTCTCATCCCCCTCTCTCTGTATCCCCATCTTCTATGTCAGTCAGTCAGTCTGTCTGTCTGTCTGTACCTTTAACTGCATCTCCGTCTTAGTCCCATTTGTGAATGTCTTTCCGTACCGTTTTTTTCTTCTGTTGTGACTCCTGTCCTCTGTTTCTATGCCCTCGTTTTTAATTATTTTTTTGCAGCATTTTTCTCTTCCTTTCCTTTTTCTTTCTTGGTATCCATTTGTGAGGCAATACACTACCCCCTTTTTTTTCTTTCTTCCCCCCCCCCTCTATCTTCTCCTTCTCTTTCTCTTTCCTCTTTTGCCTGTTCTTTATCTTCTCCCTGGCATTCTGTTTTTCAATTGCATTCACTTTCATACACTAGTCTGTACATACTTTATTTTGAACATCATCTTCTGATTGAGAGCGACATGTAGAAGGTTGCTTACTCTATAGATTTACAATGCTACCAGGTAACGTCCTTCTGGCTCTGTTCACTTGCATACAGTATGTACCCTCTTATCTGCTCCACCCTACCCATCAAGTCTCCTGGCACAGACTTATCATTTGACCCTACTTTGACACTTCACCACAATTCCTAAAAGCCTTGAGCAGAGCCTCGCTCTGCCAGTCTCTTGTGCTGGCCGTGTCAGCTGCTACAGTACACACTCAATGCAGTATGCTCTCAGCCTAGTCTCACCGTGCAGACACTGTTACACGCCCAACAACTGGCAAGGGATCGTGCCTGCGCAAACTACTCCTCCTCCTCTTCACTCCCTATCTCCCTGCCCGAGAAAAATTCATCACATGTTCAGGATTATATTTTGGTGCCGAGCATATCCTGCATAAGTGCATACAGTTGTGTCAAAACTTCACTCTCTGATAATGTGAAACAATTTTGCCATCACAAATTTATTATTTCCTCATGACAGGAGAACGAGAGAAGGGGGGGGGGGGGCTTTAAAATTGCACAGAAGAGAGGGGGAGAGAGAGAGGAAGTTTAATAGAAAAGAGAATATACACAGTCAGCTGGATGATGCATCATAGAGTCATAATATACTGTAACAAAGTTTCTCATACATACTCGTCCTACATGTACAAATATAGTTACTTTAACAAAATACAACTACATGTAGAAAATTTGTGCTTGAAGAAACAAACTATTTCAGATTGCTTGATTTTTGTCTCGCCTGCGTAGCAAAAAGCGAGACATAGGCGCCGCTTTTCCGGTGACGGCAACGGCGTCAACATCAAAAACTTAACCTAAGGTTAAGTTTTTGAATTTTTGATATAATTTTGAAAGTATAAGTTCTTAGTCAATGAAACTTTGACTATAGGGTATTATCCCCAATCATGTGAGTAGAATTTCAGATCACAAAGTCAAGGTCAAAGGTCATTTCAGGTCAACAGACTTGGACTATGTTGTAGCATCATCATTGAAAACTTAACCTTAGGTTAAGTTTTTGAATTTTTGATATAATTTTGAAAGTATAAGTTCTTAGGCTGCGTTCATGCTTAAATTTTGAAGGCAGAATGAGCGATCTGAAACGCTCATCGTAAACGCTCATCGTGATCGCAGTTCCACGATGTAGTGTTCATGCTTACTTCTCTGGCTCCCCCAGGCAATTCTCAGTGTGTGGCCTTAATTGGTCTTCCAGCTGGATTCGCAAACCTTCACTGTGCATGCTACGTAGACCCACTAGAGGTCAGTGCGTTGACCCCATTTAAACGCGTTTACAAATTGTAAACGCATCTTTTTGTGAGTTTACGATCGGCGATCGTGATCGCCGTTTTTCGGTGATTCTACAAAAGTGAGCTAAGACGCAACCGTGTTTTAAACTAAACGCGTAACAGATGCCTGATTCTGGCCGTCAAAATCAAGCATGAACGCGCCCTTAGTCAATGAAACTTGGACTAAAGGGTAATCAAGTCTCCCCAATCATGTGAGTAGAATTTCAGGTCACTAAGCTAAGGTCAAAGGTCATTTAAGGTCAACAAACTTAGACTTTGTTGTGGCATCAACATCAAGATTTTCAAAATGCTCCTTCTTCGTTATTTTTCAACCGATTATGATTCTGATTGTTTCATATGATAGGGCTAGGAGGGGGATTTAAAATTTCTACACAGAATTGTGAAATTCATTATCTATGCTAAATTATGCAAATTTATTCGAAATCACAAAAAAGGCTTCTTCTCCTTCATTTCTTCTTCATTTCTTTATCAATTTTGATTTGGTTTGCTTTATATCATAGAGCTAACTTTGGTACACTAAACTTCTACACATAATTTTGAAATTGTTCTCCATTAATTAATTATGGTAATTTATGCAAATTTATTCCAAAAATAACAAAAATTACTTCATTTCCCTCATTTCTTGAACGATTTTGATTTGGTTTGCCTTATCTGGTAGAGCTAAATTTGGAACACTAAACTTCTACACAGAATTGTGAGATTTTGCTGCATTGATTATTTATGGTACTTTATGCAAACGAAATGAAATTATGTCCCTTCCAGGGCATCAAACTTTTATTTTTGACCAGTTCAAAAGTGTACCACATGAAATTTACGATATTTGTTGTTGCGAGATGCGGATGAGCGCTATGTCATTGACGTTCTGGTTTATCATATTGAATTGCGTTATGTAGGCGATTTTGTTTGATTTGTATGGTATCACAAAATATAAGAAAACGTTTAATTCACCTCATATATTTTCTCTCTCTCTGACTTACACGATCTTTGTATGGTTTCAAACTATCAATAACAAAAAAGTAAATGATTCTATATACTTGATATGTTTTCCCTCTCTGTCTAATGTGATTTGTATGGTATCACAAAATTCTGG